GCAATTCCAAGCAGATGATAGAGAGAGCTACCCTAAAGCAATACGAGTCCCTGTCAATCCACGCAGAGAAATTGTTGACAGATCGAGCCTTTTATGCAGCACCTATGCTCCGACATGTGGAAATTGCTGCAGGCATACAGCATGTAGGCTTTGCGGCCTGGCAGGGTTGTCAGCAGCTGCAGATCGTCAAGCTCCCCCCCTCAGTCCTAAGCTTGGAAGATGGAGCTTTCCAAGGCTGCTATGTCCTTCGGGAGGTTGTGGCCCCGGGCTGCGTCCAGTACAGTCGAAGGGTGTTTGTGGAGTGCTGCTCCCTCAGCAGAGTCGGTGTCAGCTTTTTTTTGCACGAGTGGAGGCGCTGTGTGTGCAGGTTATGCGCAAGTCACCTTAGTCGAGGGAATAGAGAGCTACGTATACCAGCCAGGTTGCGACCCAACAGAGAAAGGAGGAACACAAACAAGCCCCCCAAAACCCACCAAACACCCAAAAACCACCGGAAAGGGAGCAACCTGTAGAGTAACTCGAAGTGCCATGAAGGCATGAAGAGAGGTGAAACAGGGGCAGTGAATTCAGCAAAGCACTCAGAAGTTCTTGTCCATCGACGAACTGGCAAACAAGTGAGCAAGAGCAGGCACATCAATGCAAGATCTGCTGCCCACAGAAGTAAACATCAAACTTCTGCGGTTGATTTATTGCAAGGATCTTGCTTGGACAGGCTTTGCACCAGAGCACGAAAGAGTCCCATGCCGACATCAATGTGCGCTTACATGCATGGTCCACAAGATTTCATCTTGGAATTTTAGGTGTCAGCCAAGAGGCAGACGACAGCAATGTCCTTGCACCAGGGGCGCAGCTGGGCCGAGATGCTTTCGAGAGCTGTCTCACGCTTGCATCCATCACCTTTGCAATGGACCAAACCAACAAGGCAAGAGCGCTGCCTGAAGGTGCATTTTGCGGTGCAGGTATTGAAAACCTCTGTCTCCCAAGCGACTTTCACAACATCGGCCCGCGGGCTTGTGAAAACTGCAAGCGACTTGTGGAAGTCAATCTCATGTGCACAGATATTTGTGCCTCTCGGCACACATAGCGCCCTTACCCGCGCAAAAAAAAATAGCCCTCCTCACTGCCGCCACGACTAACGCAAATCGGCAAAGAAGTGTTCCTCAACTGCATAGCGCTCCGAGAGGTGGTCATTCCGACCGAGCTCCATGATATAGGCATTCGGGCCTTTCGTGGCTGCGAGCAATTAAGATGCTTCACACCCCTTCGGGGGAGATCGACCGAATCGTACAGGCAGAACATAACGCATTTCTGATGCGCGACAATTTTGAAAAACCACCTTGGGTAGAGCTGCTTCGCACAGAAGGACCAGATTCGGACGCCTTCGACGAGGAGTTTCATACGGAATTCCCCTAACCCCAAGGCAGTGCGGCAAGGAACCAAGACGGGTGCCTTAGCACCAACCCTGGGCAGGCAGCCCCCCTTCACAGGCATCGTATGGCACAAGCACCGGAAACAGAAGCATACCATCCCTCGGGCCGTCGTTCCAGCTTGGTGTGACAGGACATCTGCCTTAGCAGCTGTCCTGAGGGGTAAAACTGAACTGAGCGAACACAGTCGGAAGTTATCGGCTCAAATGGCGACTGTAGGAAGGTCACCATCCATGGAGCCCACCAATCATCCGGAGGTTATGGACTGCCACTTTTGCACGGGTAGGGGCGCTATGTGTGCCGAGAGGCACAAGTCACCGAGTCGAATTCACATGAGGGGTGCGAGGAAATGAGCCTGACCAAAGAGAGCAAAAGAACCAAAACCCAAAACACAACAAAAAACCACCCAAAAACACACCCAAAACCAACAACAGGAACCAAGCAGATCAGGCTCATGTCCGCTCTAGTCTGAAAAGGCAAAAGGTGCAGATCCGAAGACCAAACACAGGAGTGAAACGGGGCGATGAATTCCTTTCAAGCCGCTCTCAGTACAGGACGTCCAGGACGAAATTGCATTCAGCTTATTGGCAGGACGGTATCCCACCGGAGGTGCACTGCGTATACGTGTGCATGAGCAAGACTGAAAGCGAGAGTGAGGTTCAAGTCAGGTTCTTTTTACGGTCCAAGGCACGACGCAACTTGTATCAAAGAATGCGTACGCGCCAACAACCAAGTGAGTGTTTTCAAGGTGACCCATACTGTGTCAAGAACTCTTCACATCTGCGAGACAAAATTTCAGTCAGCTCGTGTCTTTGGCTTGGTCGTTGCGCAGCCTGGGATGCCTGTCGGGGAACAATTAAGGTGCGACAGCGGGCATTGCAGCCTCGCAGCCATGTGGAGCAAAGTCCCCGGGCTAGCGAGAGTTAGTAGGAGGTTTAGGATTGATTCCTGGCCTCTCACCCCAGCCCCTGCTATTATTCCACTTGACGTGGAATAAGGTTTGCAAGGATTGCAGCTAGGCCCCAAGACGGGTCCTAAGGGGGCAGCTACGAAGACACGCTAAAGACTAGCGGTGGCAATGAGAGGGTAGGAACGGCAGCAAGCAATTAACTACCTCCCCCAGCGGGGGAGGTATGGAGCACGAGAGACCAGGTGACAGCATCAATGTGGGATATGACACAGAACGGACCTGGTCTTACCGCAAAGCTGCACAATCCATTTCAATCAAAGCACCTACATGAGATCAGGCGTGGTGTGGAGTTGCGCCGAAGAAGGTGCCGCTGCAGCCCTGGATACACAAGCGCTTCCGAGTACGGTCTATCGTGCAAGCCCCATGAACTAGGTGAAACAAAAGGGTGAAACGTCGCTGTTCCTAGTGCTAGTCTTCTGTACACTGTATCATCCCTGACCACCTCTTGGAAGGCAGCCAGGGGAGCTGGCTATCTACTCAGTGGCACGAGCAAGGTCGGCAGAAGGGTCGAAGGGCAGAGACCTGCCACTATTCTACCACTGGGCCACTGGCGCTGTAGCACAGTAAGCTTTCCGGGTTGTCATATGCTTACTACGAACGCGCCGTATCACTCAGAGTGGCTTCTGCACAACTGATCATGAATTCTTCCCACTCTTCTTTCGCTGCATCTGGCTTGGGAAGGGACCGAATCCACGATGGGAGTGTTAATTTGGTACACATCTCAAAAGTGTTGTGCTCCACATAGGTCCCCCTCCAAGTTCCTTTCTTGCCCATTCGGACGAGTTTGCAGAGCTGTGTACAGCCAGCAAAGGCTCGCTTGTTGATGTATAGCAAGGCAGGTGGAGTGTGTAGGACTTCTAGTGAGCTGCACTTCATGAAGGCTTCTCGCCCCATGCGTCTCAGGGTCTTGGTCAGTTTGAGGCACTGTAGTTGTGTGCAGCTGGCAAAAGCGCCCCCTACGATTTCTTGAATGCCAGTACGGGAGAGGTCCACCGTCTGCAACCTTGTACAGTGTTCACAGGCAACTGGTCCTATCCAGCTGAAGTCAGCTGGGAGATCAATCATTCTAGCCCTGTCCCTAGGAAGCAGCCTTCTGGAATGACCCGATGCGGGTCTCGTGGGTTATATTTAGTCCTTTCCAGGCCAATTGTCCGCAAGGTGCGGCATTGCTCAAAAGCTCGGACGTTGAGCCTCGCCTGCGGTGCCAATTGGTTGCTTCTTTGGTCTGGGTCTCCAACCCAGGCCAACGCGTGGCACTCCTCGAAAGCCCAACAACCGAAGTCAATGCACCCTGGGGCTGTGACTGTGTGTAGCACATAACAACATCGAAAGGCTCCTTCTTGCAGGCATAGCAGTGAGCTGGGCAGGCGCACTATAAGAAGCCTAGTGCAATGCTGCCAGGCCGCTTCACCAATGGTGTGTATGCCTGCTTCAACTTGCAGGCGCCTGATGTCACTCGAATGTGTGAAAGCGCGGGGGAGCACCTGCCCTGAACGGGTGGCAGGTACTCGGAGTGCTTTGGCGTTCTTCCTCGTCTGGCCTTTGTGCTCTGCACAATGATTGCATTGACGGACGACAATTTGGAAGTGGTTACAGTCTCTAAGGGTGTCCCATATCGGACTTCGCAGGAGCTACCCGGTATCTCGTCGAACAAAAGTGAGTTCGCAACCAAATGTGTTGTTTCCTCCTATGGTCGGGAGTTGCTCCAGGACAGCGGTTTCAAACTCATCAAGTCGATCAAACTCTTGGAGGTCGATAATGACTTGGTATTCTTCTCCTGAGAGAGAAGTTAACTGGAGATGAACCTGGCATTTTTCTATGAGTTGTTGCTAGGCGTTCATTCAATTCTGTCAGCTACAAGGGGCAATCCAATCACTGTCCTTAGGCGGGATGCGGAGGAGCCACTTTGGGGTGGTCAGCTTGATACAGCCTTCAAAGGCATTGTCGGCCGCATACGGATATCGCCATGCTTTCTGCTTGCTCCATGCATACTCCAGGGAGGAGAGCTCTGTACAGTCTCCCAAGGCCCTGTATCCTAGATACTAAGTCCGGCGAGCCATTTGAGATTACGGCTGCCTACGGGTACCCAACTAACACTTGGAAAGGGTTCAAAAAACAATATGAAGAGCTGAAATCAGCTCAACCAACCCAAAAACAAGCAAAAAACTCAGAAGCAAGACTTCAGCATTTTTTTGGCGCATTCTCAAGTCAACCACTGGCGGCGCACAGTGGCCTAAGTTTTTACACCGACTTTCAACTTCCAGCCAATCATTCGCAGTGCTTAAGAAAGTTTAAACATTGAGATTAGAGTATATAGTTTATCACTTTCAACATCGACTGCATCCCTTGGACTGGCTGCGTGTTGAAGAGCCTCGCGTGTAGCAGAGGAAGCCTTTTTACAACATGTAACAAACAATATAGCAAAGGTCAACAGCAACACCTGTCAGCAAATATATACCCAAGTCCAGAGTCCAGACTGACCCAAAAAACTAAGATCAATTTGTGGGTGGCGATTGTACGGTAAACGGCTCGCAAGCAGGCTTCCTCAACATTGATGGTCAGTTCAATGAATGAACACAAAAGCTGCAGCGTGTAACTCAGGATCACTCAGCACACGGGGCGGGGCTCTTGGTTGTCTGACGCCGACGGATAGCCACCTGCGGAGTAGATGGTAGCGCAACTTGCTCTTGCTCCTGCGTGCACAGGTGGTTGGTCAAGTATTCCCTTGCCATGAGAATTGCGTAACTGCGTAACACGTACATCTTTGGTACTTCCCCCCCCCGCGCACGGAACAATAAACAATGATTGAAAAACACACACTTAAATGAACAATAACCCAAATTCAATATAACTTCACTTGAGCGGTCCTTGCTCTTCGCAGCATATTGTTCGATGTGGGACTGCTTGGCTTTGGATGGTTTGATGGCGTGTTTCGCCTTGGCTGCGGCTGCGGTTGGCTTCGCACCATGCCCTGCGTTCAAAAGATCCATTGCATCTGAGGAAGGATTCGGCAAGTGTTCATACATGGGGTCAACCTCAACGAATTGAGCATCAAGGACTGCCTGCGTGGCGGTCTTTGCTGCCAAAGACTCCAAAGTAATGTCAGCTTCCGTTTCTTGAGCAGGTTCACGTGTCTCATGCAGTTCATCTGAGGACAAACCACTCTTGTCATGCAACCATACAATGAAACCTCGCAAATCTTGCAAGGCCTTGGTGTCACTCTCACCATCAATGACACCCCAAGAAGCCATAGACTCTCCACGTAGCATTGCAGAGGAGTACTTCTTGAACATGGGATGCTGAAGCGCACGAACACGCTCCTCTGCAAGAGTTTGTGCTCCCTTCTTTTTCAAGAAGCGTCGGATATCACTGATGCTTTTTGGCCGCGCTGTGTAGTCCAACATCAGCTTACCATGCTCTGCTGACTCTGCTGCTGGCGCGGCTGGAGCTGGAGGATCAAGCTCACGCTCTTCTGCCTGAGAAGGTGCTTCAGCTGCAGCTTCAGTCTTACGCTCTTCTGCCTGAGAAGGCGCTTCAGCTGCAGCTGCAATCTCACCCGCAGCCGCGCAGCCTGAAGCAGGTAGTGCAGGGGCTTCAGTTTCTGGTGGCACATCAAGGGAGGCCGGTCTGGCATCAGCATCATCTCCTGAAGGTTGTCCAGACGGAAGCTCAGGCGGCTCATGCTCAGGGCATTGTCCAAACCAGCCAACGCCCCAAGTCAGCCGCAGGATCTCCGTCCTCATGTCCAAATTCATAGTCCTCATCCACTTCAGATAGAAGCTCTTGCAAGTATGCGGGAAAGAATTGGTGGGCTTTAGCCTTCTCCAGCTCCGCCCAGATCTCCTCTCCAAGGTCTGCCACATCCTCTGGTCGTAGCATGGATGCGTCCTGAGGTGCTTCCGAACCACCAGCCTTGGATTTGTTGCCTGGAGATAAAGTCTCAGTCTTCACGTTGGCAGCCGGCGCCAACTGTTTGAGAAACTTCAATCCCAATGAGAGACCCTCCTTGCGCATTGCCCAGATCTTCTTGTCCCCACAAGTATGAATTGCAAGTTGCACTGTTTGGAGGAGGTCCTCAAAAGACTCCGCATTCATCAAGTTCATGGGAAGACCAGTGAAGACCTCAAACACTAGCATCTTGACAGAATTCAATCTCTTGTGTTTTCTGAGCAATCGATACTGTTTTACAAGTTTGAGCGTCACACAAAAGTCAAAATCGGTCAACACGTCTGCCGACAAAGAAAAGGCAAGGCGCATAAAGCGAGCATCCATCGCTCAAAGAATCTTTGCTCATCTGAGTAGGTAGAAAGGCTTCGGGGAGAAGTCCTTTTGAGGCATGAAAGATGATGTAGCCCGCAGGGATCACAACAGCCTGTCCGGTCTGCAGGAATTCAATTCGACCATTTGCTGCTGCTAGATCTGGAGGCTTCATGTGCCCCAAATGAGCCGCGCAATCAGTCAAAGTCCAGCCCTTGCTCTCGATGTTGGTTTTGAAGTAGGAGAATGGAATGCATGCACAAAAAAGGCTTCCGTCCAGAACGTAGATGAACCTCGACCATAAGTAGTCAGACGCCCCATTCCAATGCCAATTGTCACCGGCCGCGATGATGCGTCCCCCGCATGCTTTCAAAAGCGCAAGCGATTCTTCACCATCGTCTGGGAGCCTGAATGCTGTGCACTATATGATATGTACTATGTACTGCAACAAGCACATTATGTCGTATAATTCACAAGTGGTTGCCTAAACTTTAGGCACACAAAGAAAACTAAAGCCTTCAATACATAATATATACCAAAGTACAACTCATCAAGCTTGTTGTACCCAGTCATCAGCTCGCGAATGTAAACAGCCAAGTGCGCGGGGCGATGTGACTGTTGCAAGAATGAACGCAACCTCGTTTGGCTGTAGTGCTCACCATCTTTGCTACGGGCAGAGCGGATTAAGTCCTGATCATACACAGCGACATCCAAGTTCAGCTCCTCACCACCACCCAGTCGAATGAGATAGGGCTGCTTGGCTAGAAAGTCTCGATGCTCAGTTGAAAAAGGAATCCTGAGAAGGGCCTCAGACAGGGCATCGGCATCTGAAAGAAGTCTCCATTCGACAGCGGTTGCATGGTCATGGTCATTGCCATCCTTGCTCTTGCCACTCTTGCCCTTATCCTTCTTTCCCTCGCCCTTCTTGTCCTCATCGTCCTCTTCGTCGCTGCTGCTGCTGCTGCTGCTGCTTGCGACAGATCCCTCAGGTTCGTCTTCGTCGTTTGAAGAATGAGAACCATGAGCACGAACATCTTTTTCTGCCTGTTCCTTGCCCTTCCTGCGCGCTTGCTTCATTTTGTCCTCAATCGCATTCAGCTTCTTGCGCTTTAGTTCTTGCATCCTGTCCAGCACAAACATGAAAGCAACTCAAACCAGATTGGAAACACAAAGTTTTATCCAGCACTCATGGCACTCACTCACACGTTTATTGTTTTAAGGCAAACAGCTAGTAGTACAACCGTACAGTACAACCACACTGAAACTTGGCCTTCGCTCTTGCTCAAGGCGTTGCTCTTCGGCTGCTTCCAAAGTGTCGATGGTTTTGTCCAGTTGAACAAGTGCTTTCCGAACGGATTGCTCTGATGAGACCATGGTCTTGTCATAGTCCTGAAGAGATTGCTTCGTTGGCGCCAAGAGCGTCTTGCGCCGGGAATGAGAAAGTGGGCTTAGCTTGGACACGGCGCTGCTCTTGTCGAACTCAGCGATGATGGAGTCTTTGTCGGAAGTCATAGAAGACAATTGCACATCAGGCCCCATCGCAAACAGCCTTTCAAACCTGGACTTCAATAAGTTTGCCAACCTCAGTGTGGCACGCGTGAACTATATGCTTCAATTGCTTTGACTGACAATGATAGGCCGGCCCACCACCCCCACACAAAAATATAAAACTTTTGGATATTGCAATGAATGCAAGTAACTCAATACTTTCATCATACTTCTTCGCGCGGGACAAGCTGACTGAGATCTCTGTGTCCAGCTCCTTTATTTTGTCCAGCCACTTGTTCTTCATCAAGATGCACTTGCGTTTGATCTCCAACTGCTCCAATTCCTTGGACGGTTGGAGCTCACCAGCAACTAGATCCCTAACTGAAAGGGACATGATTAGCTTTAATGTTCTATATAATTGTTCTTGTTGAAAACATCTACCAACCAAAAAGATAATGTTTCCGAGACTCTGTATCTCCGCGAGTTGGCTTTGGCTTGTTGTCCTCCTTTGGCTTGGCTGGCTCCTGTGAATGGATCTAGTGATGCTAATGAGCAACACTATAAACAATATAACAGTCACAGTCATCGATTGAAATTTAAAACACAAAATAGGGTAGTGATAAAACGGTTGTTTTGTAATTACATTCTGGCGCCATGGATGGATAACATGTATATGAGATACGATCCTATACAACAACTGTTTTTTTGGACTGTAGCCCGGATGTTCCTTATTGGTATCCTTTTTGTTTTTCTTCCTTGCTTTTGTCTTCGACGCCGCCGCTGAATCACCAAGAGCCCTGCTTTCAACAAAGTTGCGATTGAGGAGTTCCCCAGCCCCCAATTCCACATCCGTGCGGGATGATAATGCACCTGGGCAGCCAATAAGTGAATACCCAATGGTGTGATACTCTCAATTTCAATTATTGAGCACACCTCCAGAAGCTAAGGGGTGCACGGTCTCTGAGTTCCTTGAACACTGTTTCACTAGCCCCATCCTCGATCTGAGTCTGCTCATTCTCTTTCACACCTCGAATTGTACCTACATGGACACCTGATGATGAGATGCGTGTTTCAAGCTTGGCCACACAGAGGTTGCCAACGCAATCTCTGGATTTTGGCACATGTGGATCTCGGCACGCATCGTCCCACTGACGGGCAGCCTCTTCATCACTCCACCCATACCACTTCTTTCCTTTTTTCAGAAACCTCCAGACCACAGAAATGAATCTTCTATGTGTTTGAACACCATAATACTTTGTCATATATATATAGCTTATATTAAATAACCAAACAACTATATATCAAATAGTATATAATATATGTTAGGTGTATAAAATATATGTTAAGCTTAAGTGTTTTAATATCAAGCAAAAACTACCATCTCAATTCCCCCACTGCCTGGTCTCATTCAGATGTGGCACATCACCTCGTGCGCTTTTGAAATCTTCAACCTGCACCTCAGCATCTAGCAAAGATATGATTATGATTGCGGTGATTATGGTATGTATTTCCAGGCCCTGGCCTGAGTTGAAGAGACCAATGTTCTTTTCTTTCCCCTTCCTCCCTTGCCCTTGTTTGCCACTATGTTGCGACGCTTTTCCTGACCAATGGTGACAGAACAGGTGACCAAGTTGGTTCAAGAAACAAACACCTATTGAGCGCACCTCAGGGGACATCTTGCTCCAGCCTTCCATGTGATCCCTGCAATAGCGATAGCTAGAGTGGCAGTCACAACATTTAAAGAGTGATCCAAACTTCCGCTCAGCGCCATCGCCAATTGCTTCCTTGCAATCCATACACCTAGGAGTAACAGATCATGCACACTCACAAAAAATACAAATTGCAATACATAAAACAAAGAACAAAAGTATGCTCTGGGCACCCTACACTAGATGAATGACAGGTGCAGCTGGATCATCTGACATGTCCTTCTACTTCAACACAATACCTGAACCTGCAACCTGTTTCTTTTGAACCCCGAACAGCTGTTTCCAAAGACAACCTACATGGCAGCACATGCAAGCAGCATTGAAAAAGACTGGTGACACAAGCCGTGTGCATTCATCGTCCGAACACTCACTTTGTTTGCGCAGAACATCCCACCCAGTCACTCTGCCAGAACAAAGCGGAGACTAACTACACACAAAAGGCCGACACAAGCCGAGTGCATTGAATTTCCTGCCATTTTGCATAAAGCACGATGGCTACATTGATTCAATTGAAGTTGACCGCATTTCATGGCTTTTGCTGCTTCCCTAGTTGCAGGGATTGCATGAAGAAGCAGCAATTCCACACCATGTGCAAACCTGGAGTACTCCTCAAGCCATAGTCGGGAGCAACCTGTTGTCAATGCAGGGCAGTATTGCACGCCCTGCCTAGGTCTCGACTCTGGTGATTGGTAGAGGTCAGCAATCTTGAAACCAGGAAAACGCTTACGATAAGCATCCAAGCCTGAGTGAACCCCCCTCCCAAAACAAAAAAGAAAACACATCTTGTTGATAGCATGACAAGTGAAATATAACTTTCCGGCTCCGCTCGACACGATAGTAGTCTGAGATCTTCACGTTTTTGTAAATTCGCATTGCACACATGCGTTGTCTCCAAATTCAGCAGTAAATCATTCCAGCTAGCAGCGCAGTCTTTGGGGTGTCGGTGCAGGCTCAGCTGTGTGGTGATTTTCTCTAAAGGACGTTCCAATTTGAGACCTGCTCGAAGGAAGATCATGTATTTGCGCGGTCGCGAGATAGGAAAGCCGCTGACACACCGCGGATCTAGCTGACATGTCCCTGCCAGCTGGTAGTGGCCTCCTCAGTATATAAGGTGACGTGGATGAAATGTCTAACCCCATGCCTTCAAAAAAAAAGAACAATTGATTACGCAAAGTGTCTGAGATTGGTAACCATCAACTCCTCCGGAAATTCCCGAACATTTTCGTGTACAATGATGTCAAACTGTGATTCTGATATATGCTTACACCTTAGTATTGGTGTTCGAAGTCCTGCAAAGGAAAGGTAACAAACGCAACTGCTACAAATAGAGTAGAGAAGGCACGCTGTCAAAAATACTTTCATTGTTTTTCCTTCAAGTCCCAGCATATCACCCCATCCACTCCAATCCTGGTTTGCTCAGGGAAGATGGCCATTGGTCAAAACCAATGTGTTCAATCCAACATAATTATTGTTGTTTACTTTCAACAACAAGCTGCAGTGCAAGGACTACCCAGTGCCATTACCTTCAAGACGGTGTCAGCCACAGTGGATGGTTGCCGCTTGCAAATACCACCGTGCTTGTAGCAACTTAGTTGGCCAACAGAACTACAAGAACCCCCCAGTAGAGACAACACAAACATATATACCAGCAGTCACAGCCAGGAAGCTAGGTGTGTGTGTTCAGGGTCACAAGGGGATCCATAATCAGGCTGCGAAGCTCTTGATACGTTTTCCTTGCTTTTCTTGAGCAGTCAGCAGAGTTGGTGTGTGTCTATGTAAGATATCTTGTCTCATATGTTTCAATTTATCCATAAACATTATGGTTATCATTTTGTCAATGAGTTCGTCAAATCGTCAATGAGTTCGTCAATTCGTCAATGAGTTCGTCAATTCGTCAATGAGTTCGTCAATGAGTTCGTCCATTCGTCCATGATTGACGAACTTTTAAAGGGGATTGACGAACTATTGACGAACTCATTGACGAACTCATTGACGAACTGACGAACTCATTGACGAATTGACGAACTCATTGACGAATTGACGAACTCATTGACGAATTGACAAACTCATTGACGAATTGAAGAAGTCATCGACCTCCTGAAGAAATCATCAACCCAATGATAAACTCTATGATAAATATAACATAGAATGCATCTAAAAGCATTCTTAAACTAACTGAATCCAAACTATTTGAGGTGCACATGCAAGTCCAAAGAAAGATATTAAGAGAACGTTTTGCTTTAGTCAAGTCTCCGTCGAAGAAATTGCAACTCACAAAAGGTTGATGCGTCCAACACAAATGCAAGTAACGATTGGCCTTTGTCCTCTGTGTAGCCCTGTAGTGTCCAACCCTTGTGTGCATTTCCTAGTTTCTTCTTGAGAACTCCAGACTTTGAAAACAACTTGTCAAAGACCGCAACGCAAGGCAGCTTGCGCATAGCCTTGATCATCTCTGAGTCCATACCCAGAGCCTCACATAGCTCATTCTTCAAGACTGCCACCTGCCACAGATACAACTGATACAAGGTGTATCATGTCATAGTGTTGTAAACAATGTCTTACATGTGATAATGTGCTGTGTGAAAACCACCGTCAAGATGCCTTCTCTTCTACCATCTCATCAACAGATGTTCGAAGATCTTGAGGAAGCAATTCCAGAATGTCACCAAACACACACGACTCACTATCAAAGGAAGTGGTCAAGACCTTTCGACATTCACCATCGATATCCGCTGCATAACGGAAGACTGTATCCAAGCCCAAATGATGTGCTGCGCTTTGAAATGCAGTCTCTGCACAACCAGTACCTGAAAATTCCGTACACACCTGCACTCCTGTCCAAGAAGGCATAGCAGGAGCTGGCGTGAAAGAGTCAATGGCTTTCATGAATTGCTTCCCCCACTTGAACATGTGTGAGCCACCAGCAATCTTTTGGTTCACAATGAAACTCATCTCTGGAAATTCTACAGAGTCCGCCGCCATCGACGATGCAACCGATGTCTTCATTGGTGTGGTGTGGCTGTCCTGCAACACACCATATGTGCAATCATGTTGCGCAACCTTGTTGTGTCCAATGAAGCTCAATGGAAAACATTGCACACATAGAAATACATATCAAGACTCAAGACTCCTCAGTGTTCTTTCTGCTTCGTTTTGAAGGTGATGTTTCAGCCTGCCAAACAGTTAGTGGCTGGTCATTAAACCATTTGGACCGTGTAAGTGCAGCACCTTGTGACCGGCTGGTCTTTTGTTTCCTCTTCGAACTTTGGCTATGTCCTGTACACATCACACTACTCACACAAGCTGAGTTGAACCTTGTCCAAATCAGTTTTGCGAACATCAAACACCATCTCCTTGTTTCTTTGGGGGCGAGTTCCAGGCTTTTTCTGGACCTGCAAGCACCACTGGGCAGTTGGAATGAGAGTTGTGTCTCACATTGAACGCTCGACAAGAATCACGTGCCTTTGCCTTCACCTTGGATCGATTGTCCTGTTGGTGAAAAATAAACATTTTTGTGTATGTGTTGTGCGCTCAACAAGAAAGGCCTTTGATTTCATTGGAGTCTTCCTCTTGGATTTACTGTCCTGCGACAACGATGCATATATATATATATACACATGTGCATATGAATATATAAGTATTGAACAAACAAACAAACAACAAACACATGAGATTGAAGATAACAACATATCAAACAGTCCTTCAAATGTCTGTGTGACGTCAATGATTCAAAGTCCATTGTGAAGCTGGAGTTGCTCTACTGAGTCACATTAGTGACATTACGAGTCACATTCCGAGCCAAACATTCTGGTAATGTTTCGCATGCTGAGCACAACCTCCGCGCCCCACATCGTAAGCACAACACGCAAATGATACCTGAAGCCATTGAACATTATTTTTCGCTTTGCAAGACGTGCTACTAGCGTGTGAAACACCAAGCTCTAAGCGCTACAGTAAGGCCTTGACCTCGTCAAAATAGAATTTTAAGATCAAATCTTCGACTGTCCGCTTTCTAGTAAACCACAGCTTCGCGCCCCAGAAAACTTGAGAGTATAGCACCATACCCAAGCACACTCTCACTTGATCTCTGGGTGGTTTGGCGCAATGTTTGTCACTACGCAAAACTTTCAAAAGCAATGGCAACGCGATGTCCACTACCTTTCCATGACCATCAGTCTTGACCTTTCTCTCAATATTCAATGCCACTGGCTCTTGTTCGGAAGCTGACCCAGCATCCTGCTGCATAGGCCTGGGCCGTGTGAGTACCATAGACTCAATAACAGTTTGTATATATTTCTATTAAGCTTGTAGAATTTGATATGTCTCAGTCCCATGCTCCTCAATGACTTCTTGGTTTGTCTCCCTGACAAGTACTTGCATGACAGGTTCGCTAGGAGTCTTTAACAAAAACTATTTGGAAACCAGCCCGATACAACATCCAATAACGAGGCGCCTCCCACCAAGAGATTCAGGCAGCTCCACTTCGCAAGGTTTGTGCTCGCTGGAATCTGAATCTACAACTTCAACAATGTCATGTTGGTTTGTTTTTGGGTCAGTACTTGTGTCTGGATCACTGACAACCTTACGTTTCCTGGTTTGTTTCCTCTTAGGCTTGGGTTTTGCATCTTGAGCTTGAACTTTCCCGGGTGTTCTGAAGAAATTGCTGGATAGTCTTGGGTCTGCACACGACTCACCTGCCAAGTCAGACAATTCACATGTTTATGGTGGATAGAAAACCATGCCTTCCAAGAACCGTTCAAGTTCTCGATATCCTTCTGCTGTCATAGTCTTTGGAATTTCGACGGCCTGCCGGTGAGACAACAAAACCATAGTTTCTGGTAATGGATGGACAAGGTTGCCTCTGCATGGTGGTTGCTTGCAGAGAGCATGCATTTGTAGTAGCCGGCAGTCAGCACAGCGTGCGAAAACATTCCGGAGTCCTCACACATTGCCACATATGTGCTTCCTCAGTTAGCAAATCCCAAGTAGTCTATCCAGCTCAAATAGTCTATGATATATAATATATAAGAGTCTATGATTTCTGTTCGATACTAAATTATTCCAAAGTTCTCTCAAGCAATAACTCCAAATATTGTTTCAGCATGTTCCTCTTGTGGAAGACTTTGCCCTCAATTGAAGCGGAAGAAATGGATCCTTCTGTCCAACCTTCTGCGAGTAGCTTCTTTCGCAGGTCAAACCAGCTGCTGCCTTCTGCTGTGTTTGGTAGCTCCACGAGCGTTGGCTTGCTAACCACACAGCGCCCCTCCAAACATGAGCTCAGCAATACTAGCTGTTGCTGCTTCGTCACAGATGCAAAACCATTTCGCACTAGCCACCCAACAGCAGATTGAAAGCGTCTCTCATATGAGATGGGCTTACCCATCGTTGCTGCATGTTCTCCAATGTCCATAATGGCTTGCCTGACAAATAAAGCCAGATAGATTGATAGACCTAGCAAATGCAAATATAAAACTACACATATATGATTAATATATCCTGGCCCTAGTAGTACCGTTACAAAAAGTCACTGGACACAACACACGTTTCCAGAGCTTGGTGTGACGATTCATTGTTTGCTCGGTTTGAGTGTCACATGCTGAGCATCACAAACTCAAAAAAATGTGTGTTAGATGCTGCGTGGTTGCATCATAGTAACATTGTCGAGCCCTCCAATGTCAGTTGTGTCATCCTCATCTTCCATACGTCCACAGATTGCGTCTTCTGATAGCTTGCAAGTGTGAACAGCCTCTTGGAATTTGTAGACATGGTCGAAGTTGTACTTGAAAAAAGTCTCTACCTGCACAGCTTCAACACTTCCCATCTCAACATCAGCCTCCGTGTCTGCAGGCAGAGGCAGTAGATCGACCTTGCCATCTTGACAAGGGACGCACTCAGACTCAGGCTCCACTGTTGTGGTTCCCAGAGCAATCACCCCAACACAATCGTGCCAAGGATCAGCTTTTGTGTTCCACTGCAGAGAGCGTTGCATGTATTTCTTAGCATCAGGCCGCTTGTCTACCAACTTGACAATCATGTAGACTGTGGCACCTGTGTCGGTCTGACTGACAGGCACGGCGTAACAACTTCCGGGCGCCAAAGCAACCCGCACATGTTCATGCATCTTCAAGATCAGATCATTGCGACGGGGCCGAGGTGGCAATGAATAAGCCTGAACCAAAGCACAGTCAGCAGACACATCCTGAAACATAAGTGCCAATGAATGGCCAGAGATGAGCTTGTGCAATTCGCATTTGCTTTGCCACGTTTCCGGAACCAACTCCTCGAAGTGCTGAAGGTAGTGTTCAAACTTTTGTCTGAACGATTCCTCTTTGACATCATTGTTCAAAGTTCTTCGAAGATTGGCTGACACATATGCTGCACTTGATGCTCTGGCTGGCGACACACGCATATTGACCAAATGATGACGGCTCTCCAGTCTTTGCATGGCCACCAAGCTAAATGCGTAAGATAGCAGTTCATGAAACAATCCATCTTGCATACAATGGGAGCCAAATGCCCACTCAGCCAATTCAGCAGCCAGAGGTAGTCCTGCAGCAAAGAACTTGTCCGCAAATATGCCTTGTTGGAGGGAGCCAGCACGGTAGAGTCTGATCAGCTCAGCTGCTGACGCACGTGATTCCTTGATTGCAGCCTCCCTGTCGCCCTCACCAACGAGAATGAATGTCATGAGCTTTGGGAGACTCCAAGGAAACTCTTCATAAAAGCCTGTCCCCTGCTGAAAGCGAAGCATCATCGCACCCTTTGCGGTCTCAAAGCTGCGCTTGATGATCCTCTCGCATTCTGCATCCACTTGAGCCAGCCGTGACAATGCGTCAGAAGCTTTCCTGACAATTTTCAGTTTCAGAATTCAGAATCAGAAAACAAAGTCAGCAGGTTGATAATAATGATAAGTTATGTATTACATATAGTATAGTTATCGTCAAGATATGCAGCAGCATAACCAACGAATCCGCCACTACCACCGACCACCAGTCCAAAATCACAGTCAAAAGTTATCATTGATTGCCAAAGAGACTGATTGGCTTCCAAACGAAGTGCTTTCAGATCAGAAAGGAAGCAGGAGCACTTCCCATTGGACAGGTTGATAAGTTGTCGACCGTTCAACTTGCACGGCTTCCTCCTAAGCAACTGCAGTTTCGACTCCTGGTTTTGATGTTCCGGGCACGGGCATGAATGCATGTAAAGGTATACCCCAAATCCCCAGCTCTGGAGGGAGTAATATGTCCAGAAGATTGCCCAAAATCGCAATCGTTGTTCGGAACTTGTGCCCAGCTGCTGCAAAGCTGCAGCTTCTGCTGTTGAAGTGTCATCTGCGTTTGTTGCTGAAGCAGGCTCCAAGTACTCAATGAGCTTTTCTCTTCCGGCTACCCACCGCATGACTTCAAAAGCATAGTGCCACCGTGTTCGACAATGTGTAGGGCAGGTCATGTCAAAAAGCCTTGCAATTACACGCTTGCTGTGTTGAGATAGTTTGTTGTTCTCCAATACCTGCTTCTGAATATATCGATCGCAGCAATCTCTCTTGGAAAAGAACTTTGATAACCCTTTTATTTGGTTGTCCCACGCTGTCCAGTAAGGATTGTCAATGGCAAAAGCGGCTTCCGCATCCTCCATTACATGATGAAGCATGTGGTCGATGTCTCCCAAAGGTAAGGATTCAGGGAACACAACACTGCCATCATCCTTGAGCGATGGCATGCTCCATAGCCCACTCTCAACACCCATGTCGGTGAGGAGTGAACGCACGCGTGACCGTGCGACGTCTTCAGATGGCATTTCCAGACAAAGCATGCGTAAGGTTGCTCTGGCTTTATACGCAGTGTGTGTCGCCTGCTTGCCCAGCACTTGCAAAGGACACAATCGACATTTGATATCCACTGATGCCAGCCTTAAACAAACAGTTTGGGTTTGAACTTTGAACCTTGACCTCATCCTGGTTTGGAAAGTACACTAATTAATAAAGGCAATACGTCAAATGAAAAACAACTTACTGCTAAATTCCAACGGGGTGCACATTTCCAGGATCTGTTGGTGAACATGATTCAGTGCATACACGGTCCACCTCACCTACCAGATAGTTCTTGCCCCACTGCGGAGAAGAGTCGATTCTCAAATGGCAATGCCATTTCACACCATCAGCGGCAAACACATGATCCCGCGCCCACAGCATTGCCACCCAGTCTACATTCATCCGGTACTCATAGAGCAAAGTACGCTTTGGAAGTCTAATCCCTTGGCGCACCATATGGTCTGCAACGTCCGCGTGCAAGGTCAGGGACAAAGACCTTAACTCGTGAGCGTCGCCGTTGTCATCGCCACTATTTGATACACCGAGCGCGAAGACAGCACAACAAGCCAACTAGAAATGCACCGCACCACACATGAATCATGAAACTAGAAATAAATATCTTTTTTGCCCGCGATTTGGAATTACTAAGACCCCGACTGCTGGGCCACTTCACGTAGAAGGTCTATCTCGGAATCAAGCGAGCGACAGTTGTCTGCTAGGAGCACACTGTCCAGAACACACAGCGGCGCGTATTCACATCCTCCTTTTGAACGGCTGCGCATGCCGTTCACAACCTTCAGTTTCTGCCAAAGCTGATTGACCATCGCCCTGGCACTTTCAATCTCTCCCAATTCCAAATCACGCAACACCTGCTGGAACTCTGTATCTATTGTAGAGGGAGCATCTCCTGTTTGAACGCGGATTACTGGTCCCGGACCCCGCCCTGTTGAAGACGGGGCAATGACCAAAGCTGTCGAACCAGAAGAATCATCCGCCACCGCCGCATAGTTCCCGATCAGGATTCGTACCTCAACTAAAGTAAATATTGGCGGCTTGAGCTTCACTACACTACCCAATTTGTTAAACACTGCGGCCGCCGCCGCCACCACCCATGGAAAAGGTATGTTAAATTCAAATAGTATTGTTACTATTGGCGTTCAACCAACCATCGTGGCACTCAGTTGCACATCAAGTTGCATGTTCCCAAACAATTGGACCGTGCAACTGCTCAACCTCTTCGAGTAGCAATCCACCAGCTGTCAGACCACGCTCCTGGAAGCTGAGAATTAGCAACCAGACTAGCAACCAGCGGTCTCGAACTGCTCAATCAAAATGCAAAAAAATACACATACAAGTATATAATATATAATATATATATAATTATATATAGTACCCTAGAATTTTGAACCAGAACACACACTTTGGTACACCGTTCTCCTTCGAAACACGAAATTGTCTGCCATCTTCCGGAGGAAGCTTGGACCAGTTCCTTCGCCCACGACTCGCAACCAATGAAACGATAGGTGGTTCCAACTGCCCTTTGAACACCTCCACAGGATTGGAAGGAGTCTCTTCCCCCTCAGGCTGCGCCAGTGCCACAAGCTCAATGTACGTGTCCCGTCTCGCAGCTCGAGTGATGCACCAAATGACCATTGGTGCCCGCCCTGGAAGAACCAAAGCATCAAATTGCTCAGTCTGCGGGTTCTTCCATATCGAACACTGACTGAGTCAACTGAGAATGCTAGTTTAGTTGCCACAGCTGGATTGGTTGGATCCAAAAAAAATCAGATACAGTAGAACTACACCTATGTTCCACCATTGTCAAACATCATTGACTTGTTATTGTTTTAATTTGTTTTCTGAACCATAACATGTCGCAGATGCGCGGGCTTCTAATTCAAACCAGCAAATGAGTTGAGGACACATGGTCATTACCAAATGTGTTTGTTGTAACAAAACCAATTGTTTCTGGCTGAAAATGGTGTTTTTCTATATTTGGTTAACTTTTGTTGTCCTTAAGAAAAATATAATGTTATAACATCTCACTAACTTGCCGAAATGCCTCGGCGTACTTAGTAATCCTAGATAACGAATGCTGCCCGGAAGAGTCAGTCTCTCCAAGGCTTTGCAACCCACAAACACTTCTGCCCTAATTTCACGCAAGCAGTTCGGCAGCTTGACTGTTGCCAGGCAGTGGCACTGCGCAAAGGTGTGCATATGTAGGGTATGAATGCCCGCGTTGGAGAGATTGGCACTGACTGGTGAGCGCTTTGCAACTTTCAAGAGCTCTGTGGCCTATGTGGTATGTATCGTCTCCGAGTTCCACTTGCTGGATGCCGCTTGCGAAAAAGCAGCCTTGAGGTAATCCTGCCTGTGGGGAAGTGAGTGCGCTACTATCAACCACTGCTCGTACATGAGGTAGAGATAGGTGGGCTAGTTTAGCACATTCTTCGAAAGCATACTGACTGACGATGGCTCCAATCGCAAGATGGCTGCCTCCATCGACAATGTTACCGACACTCTCCAGCGCACAACATTCAGAGAATACTCGAACACCAAACTCAACACATCCTGGCATTTCGGCTACCTGTAGGGAGTAACATCCTTGGAAAGCTGCATATCCTAACGTCACAACCGTGTCAGGCAGCTTGACGATCCGCAGGGAGTGGCAATACCGCCACCCTTGCGGGCTAATTGTGCTAAAGCCAACATCTAAGCAGGCGTGGCGGACTCACGTGGTCGAGTGGAAGGCCTTGGCTTCAAGAATACCTGATTCAGAGACAGGGACTCGAATCGCCTTTGGGCAGTCTTCATAATCAAGCCCCTGAAGAGGCTTGTTATTCTCCAGACACCGAAAGCACTCGTGTACGATAAGACAGAAGTGATTGGTATTCCAAAGTTCTTCTTGTACAGGGTCTTGCAGCGCCACCTGAGTATCCGCATTGAGTAAGGTGAGTTCACACCCAAACGTTTCGATGGGACTAATGTACCGCAGGCGCTCAACTAGGTATTCCTCCAACATGTCCCACGTGTGGTAGATGCTGACAGGGACCGGTAGCTGTATCACCGTACCCGCCAGTGTGGTGAGGTACAGTCGAAGGAAGCTGTCTTCTTCCCAGTCAGCCTGCTGTGCTTGGCGCACGGTTCTGCTTGCACCCTCTGCCATATGAGGGACTGTTCCGCCGTTGGCAGCCCTCTCTTGTAGTCCTCACAGGCCTCGCCTTGAGCCAAAAGGTTACGGATGTTGTTTTTAGTTTTATTATGTTATGGACTGCCACTTGGTGCTAACTGCCCTTTCGGGCGCGACAATCAATGTCTCTCTCAGAATTACGAAGTTCGACCGATTTGAGGACCTTGAGGATCATGTTATGGATTATCTTGTCTCAGTGACTGACCTCAAAGTGTTTGGGTGTTCAATTGAATTTTTGCACATGGCCACACAGACCCACCTAGAGCCGATTTGGGACAAACTGCAACAGAGTATGGAATACTGCATCATCTTTAAGGATTGCAGCGAAGTCCTACCCTCGCAGGAACTCCTAGGAGGGTGTCCCATCTGCAACATCCCGCTTGCTGTCCACGTCCCCAGAACCCAGAGGGAGTAGTCCCAGAAGGGGCGTTCGCAGGAGTGCCACGCCTACGTCATGTCAGCATTGAGTCAGGTATTTGACTTATCAGTCGTTGGCATTTCTGACAACGCGTTTAGAAATTGCAAACTGCAGTGTCACTGCCCTGGTTGCCGGGAGTTTGGCTACAAAGCCTTTGCGGAGTGCTGTTCTTTGCAGTGGGTATATGCTGCTGAAGGAGTTGCCAACCAGTTTAGCAGCACCACCAAGTTTGGGCGTTACCTCTTTCGAGGCTGTATCAACCTTGCTGAATTTACCCTGCGAGAGATTCCCTCCCCGAGCGAGCTGCCATCGCAAACCACTGCCAGCGACTTGGCCCAGGTTGCCTCAGCTCTACAGGGATAACCACACTCACACTCACGCAGGATTTCGCAGTCCCAGAAATGAGATGGCCGCCATGGGTGCGCATGATCCCGGACACGGGATGTGTCTCTGGTTTGGCCTGATGAAATCCTGTCTGGACATTGCAGTTTGTGGCCTTCCTGTAATCCATCTAGTCTGGATGCGAGCCTTAGCTCGGGTCCAGCCAGGTGAGCGCTCACCCTGGTGCACCTTACAGTCCATACATAGATGCATTCCACAAGCTAAGGGAGTGAAGGGCAACGGACGTTTCCGTATCGGGGCCGGTCGAAACTGAACATTCCTGCCCTGCATTTCTAGGGGCTCAAGCTATGAATCGCAAGAGCGGAGCATGACAGCTGATGCGCCTGGACCCAGCCCTCGAGGCAGCAGGGCCGTTGGCACAGCCCCTAACACTCATTACACTGGCAGGTGAGGAGCTACCCATAGCAGTAGATCCGAATGCACATGCCTGCCTTCGGGGTTTCGAAAATGCCGTATTGGCAGAGCTCCCCCACTTGGGATGCAATAGCACCCTCGGGTGTGAATTGCAATTTGTGCAAACAGACACCCACCAGTCCTAGCAGACCCCATACAGAGTAAACTGAGGGCCAACCATTGCTACTATGTGATTGCTCAACAATGTTTTGTAGAAGCAGCACACAAAGGGCAACTCAAAGGGGAAGCCAAGGCTATCCGAGTGCCGCATGGTAGGAATGATAAAATCCCACCACAAGCTTTTTCCTTTCACACGGAAGTTCGTCATGTCCCAGTCGAGAACGGTATTCGGATTGTAGGGGAAGCTGCGTGGAGGAGTTGTCGACAGCTGCAAGTAGTCCACCTGCCGGAAACGGTCGTTAGCCTGCTGCACGGCGCTTTTAGCCGATGTCAGGTCCTGCGAGTAGTGACAGCCCCTGGCTGCAAACATTTCGGCACTAAGGTCTTTGAGGAGTGCTGCTCCCTAACACAAATAGGCACGACTCAATGCCCTGGCAATATACTAGCCCCCCAAGCACAATTGCGGCCTCGAGTGTTTCAAGGATGCACGGCCCTGCGTCACCTCAACTTGGGTATGTCAGGGTGTAGTCCTGCATATCCGAACCGATGCTTGCCCGACTGCTGCTTCCTGGAAGCAGGCATTGTAGCGCTCTTCCTGCCGCCAGATTTTAACAGGATAGGATCGGCCGCCTGTGTGAGCTGCCAGCAGCTGCAAACTGTTGATTTGTCCCAAACGGACGTCATTGAAATTTTGGGCTCAACCTTTGCACACTGCTCACAGCTGCAGCAACTCAGCCTTCCCCGAAATTTACGAATCATTGAGCAAGAAGCCTTTCTCAAGTGTACCTCGCTGCAAGAAGTCTACATCCCACCATCCCTGCTTTACATTGCGCGGCGTGCTTTTGCAGGTTGTAAAAAAGGGAAAAGCAAGACATGGCGAGGTACATATGCCCGGCTCAATGCATTTGACAAATGTGAGCAACTAGACAAGCCCAAGTGGCTCCGATTCTTGCCGCCAAATGCCAAAGACCAATGGAGAGAAGACTTTCAAGAAGCCATACCCTAGGCTTAACAACGCTCAAGCAGAGTCACCATTTCGTCCTCACCATCTACGATTCAGTGAGCCTACAGGAATGAGAGCCTTAGCTTCTCGTTCCCAAAAGGCGGGTGGTAGAGAATGGTAATGGAAGGCGGCCAGGGGGAACCTTAGTTCTCTCTGCGGCGGCCATGCCATGACCATTTTTGTACAAAGAGGCACAAGCACCATGCTAGGATAGGTCCACGGTTTCACCTGTTTCACACGGGCCTTGCACGTAACAGAAGGATGATTTCACGTTGGCACCTCCCTTTCTTTCAGGAAC